AGACACCCTGGGGACGCATAGCACCGATCAGGATCTGGCCATGGGAGGCATACGCATGGGGTGTTTCAGCAAAGACGCATCTCTTCACATGCGAGATCCAGATCACGCAGTGCAAGGTTTGCAGCCCCGAAGCTGATGGGACGCTGATGGCTTGAAAAAAGCCTTCGTGCACACACACAGAGCCTGGGTTATACACACACGTGCGCGCGCACACGTTTATTCATGTGTGGGGATGTCAGGGAACGTTAGCCGAGGGAGGCTAAAGAGACGAAAGAGGCTACAGCACCTTTTTTACAGCACCTTACTACAAAGGCTGTAACAGCCCTTCAGGAGCTCTGGAGCATACAAATGAAAAGGTGAGCTGCAAGATAAAGTACGAACAGCCATTTTTTTGTGCACACACTGCATTTGGGTCCGAGTGCTAGTGTACATGCAGGAAATTTTGATGTCCCTTTTTAGATGTGGATTTGCAGGGCACCCACGCCCGCACGCGTGTTGGTGTGTGCGAGCGGCTCCTCCGGCACGGTCGCCGCTGGAAAGCTCCCCGCCAGCAGTGCAGCCCGCCCCGGCAGCCCGCCAGGAGGCTAAGAGCCCTCAGCAAACCCATTTATAAAAACCTCACCTTGTTAAGCTGATTTAGGCAAGTTAAATCCTTTAAGGATTAAAAATGTCAGCACCGCAGTTGGTAAAAGTTGTTGTGGGGCAGCTTTGCTGGAGCTGGGATAGGTCCGTCATGCTCAGGACAGCAGGATGGTCTGGAGAGGAGACAAAACTGCCATCGAGTTTCAGGAGGACATACGTCCACTAAACCAACCAAAGTCAGCTCAAGCCCTTTCCTGAGACTGAGAAAATGTTCTGTATTCAAAAAGTGTCAATAAGACCCTTTGCGGGTGTGCTCACCAACACAGCCTACGTGGTTACCAAGCGTTGCGCTGACTCTGTCCGGGTGGGTCTGAGGAAACTGCCACCGACTTTATTCTTGGCTGCACTATCAAGCCCTTCCTCAGCAAAGTGCTTCTGATTTGGGTTCCACGAAAAGGATGCAGAGGTTATACAGAAAAAAGAATCCAACCTCTGATAACTGCAAACTGCATAAAATAAAAATCGACTTTCTGTGCGTAGGGTAAATACTGCATGGAAATACCTTTAGGCCTTGAAATCTGTGGCATTAAGAAGACAGCCTGTTCTTTCTGCTGTTTTTACCACTGAATACAAGTGCAGGGATTACAGGCAGGCAATCTCTGACCAAATCCTTTTCTGATGTGTTTGGTTATAATGTGATAGCCCTTTACTACTGAGAAAAGAGTTGCGTCACTTTGCACAATTTGGAACTTATTTGTGTGCAAGAATAAAGAATAAACAATAGACAAAGAGCTTTTCTCCCCTGGTACTGACAACAGACCAACAGCTGAATTAATCCCTGGTGTTTCAAATCCACTCATGAATTTAACTAAAACACAAAAGTTTCCCTTTTTAAATAAAATTTCAGTAGAAGAACACATTAGCCAGAGGACCAAAGGGAGTAAATCAGCAGAAAATGGATCTGCTTCGTAGATTGCACAAGGACATTTTGGGGACACAAAACCAGAGGCTTTTAAACACCAGCTGGGTTCAATCACAGTGAAGTGACACAAGGTTAAGTCGGCCTGTGCTGCTCCCCAAGCCGTGCCTGGCTTTGCAGCACCATACTCGGTTCATTCGCCAACTTACTCACATCTTTGCAAAGCTCACGCAGCTTCAACCCCAGTGGTGCAAAATTCTGCTCAATTACTAGCAATGCTTCTCGGGTGCAGGGTCAGCACAGGAACCGCCTCCTTTTTTCTCCTGGACACTGCTCTGCTCATCATCTGGCCACGGCATGGGCAGGAGTGCTTCCAGCTGTGAGGACGGTGAGGATTTGGGGCTGGTTGCTCGGCCTTTGCTTCTCAGGGTTCCAGAAACATCAGGAAATGTTGGCGGGAGAGGTGAAGATCAACCTGGTATCACCTCGTTAGGCTGCCCCTCTATACATCTGCTCCTGAGTTCGTGGAGCCAGCAGCCTTAAATTAAACTTCTCTGCAACCTGATGAATTTTAGACTGACCTGTTCTTTCACTTGTTTATGAAAAAAATAAAGAAACCTATTTAAATTCAGGATGTTGCCCTTAATTTCCCAGTACTCTAAAGTCATTCCCTTCCCGGGCAAATAATTGTTTTTTAAATATGTAAACGCCAGCATACTTCTGCCTCTGCACTTGCCTCCTTTTCCACTTCTATGAAATGCCACCATATATTTTTAATTACCTGTCAGGCAGGGCTTCGGGACCTTTGTGCCCTCTCGTTCCTCTGTGCCCCCTAACTTTCCAGCCAGCTCCCCAAAGCTGCCGGTCTCTGACCCTCTCTCTGCTCCCCATTGCCTTTGCGCCTCCTTCCTCTCCTCCTCCTCCTCCTCCTTTGCCTCTCCCAAGGCGAGCAGGGTTTGCAGCATGGTGTCTCACAGAGCTGCTTCAAGATCAGCAGAAATATCAGCCCCAAGCCGGAGCAGCGGCTCAGAAGTGGCTGTGGGGCAACTGCCTGGCAGAGCCCTCCCTGGCCGAGCATGAAATTACACAAACCCTGACCTTTTTATCCTCAAATTCTGCTGTTACTGGAAGTTTCAAGGTTCATATATTTACGCTTCTTTTGCCACATCCTCAAAGGTTAAAAATCAACCTTCCCTTTTCCTGTTTTTATGAAAGCAGAGAATCCCATGTCATGGTGGACTGAAGCACTTCACAAATGAGAAGTTCCACCACCAGCAAGGCTGGGTCTTCTCTGAGACTGTGGCTGTGGCTGTCTCCTCTACTGACTGATCGCTGCTAAACTCACATTGCGGGCCTTTTACCTCAATAATAGCATCTTTCTGCTGAAGCTGCCCAACTGCACCCACTAGTCAGAAATTAATATCACAGACTCTTCAGCCCTGCTGGGTTGAAAAATGATGAGGGCTGGGAGGAACAGGGGCTCAGGTATGGCCACAGGCAACACAAAACAGAAAGACTAAGATCACATGCACCTCATTTTTTCACGAGGGGAAATGCAGTAAAAATAAACCTCCCTGCTAAAATTACTATCCCAGACTTCATGTTTAGGTTCTCTCTTTCTACATTAAAAGGTGAGGAGAGTGGAGAATATTAATTAATATCAGCACAAAACATCTCATACAGAAAAGTTATAAAAGCAGCAGCAGCAGATGGGCATCAAGTTGAATGTTGATTCAGAGATCCTCATACCTCAGAAAATGCATTAGTCACTACAACAAACAGGAAGGCATCCCATGGGGTCCCTCTCTCTGGTTTCCTCTTTTGTTCTAGGCTTGCTAGCATAACTCTCATATGGGGCAATAAGTCCTGGCCTCCTAGCAAATACCATATTCGTTTTTCTCTAAGAATGAAATGAAGAGATAAGAGTTCTGGCTGTCAAAATAAGATAGAGAGAACAATATCCAAAAAAAAAAAAAAAAAGCCTTGTTCTTATTGACTTCAGCTGGTGCTGGATCACACTCAGAGGTTAGAAATTGGTCATTGGCAATTAAGGAATGATTAAAAAGAGCACCCACTCTCTTTATAGGCAGTGGTGAGAGATGCAGTTCAGAGCAGAAGCCTTATATATGCTCCAAATCATCCCCTATAGCTGTCTAGCTGTCTCTGTTTGCAAGAGAGGAGCCTAAACAGGCTTTCCTAGGCTAAAGTTAGCTGCTGTGATTATTCCACCATTGCTGTGCTGGCTTTACTCCAGAGCTTGTTTCTATGTTGGTGTATTATTCTGCCAAGAAAGTGGTATAATGCACTGGGAAAGCAGGTCCTGAGGTTAAAGTCTGCTTAGAACTGGATGGAAATTTACTGGAAGCCATAGGTAAGACTCTGCACCCCATAAATAAGTAGTGTATTCTGGTAAGTGGAGAAGGCCATTTATTCCATTAAATAAATCTCTCCTAAGTGAATCCTTGTCGAAGGAACTGCATGTAGGTGGAACTGCCTAATGTGAATCATGTAACAGATTTCTGATGAAGTGCTCTGTCAATTATGAGAGCCATCTATTTTGATTTGGATGGCTCAGTGTTCAGGCTGCTCTTCAACATCTTTATGTTCTCCATGTGGTATTGCTATCATCAAGTTATTTACAGGATGGCACAAATGCAAGTAGTGTTTTACAATGATGAAGTGCATAATCTAGTCTGGCGTTATCAAGCTATAGTATCTCCACTGAGAGCAGTGAATTCTTCTGGCTCATTAGTCTCTGCCCCATGCAGCTCTGGGAACTGAATCCAAGGGGTGAATTTTGACAATGTCTTCCAGGTCTGACACTTATTTATCTTCAGCAGTCTTGACATTAGGTGTCTAGCCCTTCACCCCAGGCTCTGTCTGCAATCACTGAAGACGAATAGGTGTCTGCAGAGCTATTTATTTTACTTTACTAACAATAGAGAAAACTAGATATCTAAGACCAAATGTACAACTCTTGCACCTCTAAAGTTAAGTAAGACAAATTCCACTTTGAGTCAAAATGTAGTGACCAAGACCAGCAGAACTCAGTGTTTCTCCTTGCTGACTGATGTCCTGGACAGAATGTCCAAGAGAAGCACTTGCCTCCTGCCTTACTGCTTGTCTGGCTAGCAGTCTGGGGAGAAAGTGTTGTCATTGTCAGTAGTGGCTTAGAGAAATACAGGGTGGGCTCATACTCAGGAGGATGAAGTTTTCCCTGTCTGAAGAAGTAAGCAGTTCTGCTGACTTTGAATTGTTAACACTAATTTTCTTTTTTTTCCTCTTTTTAGGGTGAAGTCTTGGGCAGATGCCTTTGGTGGGGAGCTGTACTCCATTGTGACTAAGTATTCAGGCTCTCTCCTGTTGCAGAAGGTAGGCAAAAGCTGTGAGTGTTCCCTTGGCTTCACGTCATCTCCCCGTGTAGCCCTCCAAGGTTTGCCCCTGGGGTGGAAGAAAGCAAAATATACAGGTCTCCAGCTAACTTTCAAAACCATGTGGGTTCATATCCATAAGCACAGAGTGATGTCCTGTGGCTATTCTCCATGAATTGGAGAGGGGGATCCTTTCATGAGCCATGGCCAAATGCCACCTAAATTGTCCCATTTGAAAAAAAAAAAAACAAATTTTTAACAGTACTCCTTGTGCTTCCCCTCTGATCATGTCATGCCCTTCCACACTGACTCTTTTCTCATCCCTTCCTAAGTGCATATTGGTACCTCTCCTCCTGCTCATCACTCACCTATTCACTGTCACCCCATTGTCCCTTCCTACAGCTTTCCTGCTGGCACTCTTGTTTATTTCTGCTTCCTCATCTGTCTTCCTCCAGTCACTCATCAATTCTTTGAATTGTGCCTTTAAAACCCTGCTTTAGATGGGGTCTCTGAGGCAAGCGCTCTGTAAGCCATGATCTTCCAGAGGTGCTGAGCTCTGCCTCCCTGCCCTGCCTGGCATGCCCGGCTCCCTCGCTGAACAACAGGCACCGCTGTGCTAAACTCTCTGCCAGCATTAAAGGCTCCAGGGGCTTAAATAAATGTTCCCATTTGTGGCTGTAGAAAAGTTGCCCTGTTACCTTTGATTCCTCAGCTGCTCCTCTTTCAGGCTTGGAACTCAGCACTGCAGCAGCAGGGCTGTATGGACCAGCACCTCCCACGTGCTGCTTGGGGGCCTGGTGGCTGCTGAGCACATCTGAAGGGGTGCAGTCCTCTCTCCACCTCATGTGGCTGTATGGTTCCTCTTCTTTGATTCTTCTTTTCAACACAATCCATACACTGCCTCTTAGGGCTTTAGGTATCGGATTTGTCTTCTGACTAGTAATAACACCCACGTCCCAGTGCAAAAAGGGATCTGGATATCATTTGACTTGCCTTACCCCCAGTTTCCCTGTCCCCACAGTGCTGCTCTCTGTCTGGAGGAAAGGAGCAACTCCTGCAGCATCGCCTTTGCTAGGCTTGGCCAAGAAAGGCCTTCAGCATTCATCACAAAGGTCTATATTGATCATCAGCTCTTCTTAGGAGGAATGTGCCACCATGCAATAAAAAAATTGTCAGCGCTGGTATAGGTGCTTCATGCCTCAATCATGAGGCAGCTGTGGTGTGATATCGATGCAGGCAAAAGTTTGGCTTTTAGCTGTTTTGATGATGCTTCTGCATTGCCTGTTCTTCTTTAGGGTCCCCAAGTGGTAGTGCAAGAGGCAAAGTGACATGCATCTTTGGTGGATGTTGGAGCACCAGTGGCCAGGAAATACCCGACTATCAAATAGCCCCAATCTGTATCAGTGTCTGATGCTGTATAGGTATTTGTTGTCCAACTGAAAGTCTGCAGATACCAGCTTTTTCTGGAAGATGCTAAGGATATCACCTTATTGTGTGAGGAAATACTGTAGCCATTATGTCGTCTTACTGCTTCCACACAGCCAATTTGTGCTGCTTATGTGGCTACTTCTACTAACGGATTAAGGGGGTTCGCACTTCTTAAGGCCCAAAAATCAGTGGGACTGAGCAGAAAAGGGCTTAATACCAGTGTTGCAAAAGTTAACAGTGGAGGCCAAGGATGACAGATGTGGCACTGAGGTGGGTCTGAAGAAAGCTCTGCTGTGTTGGCCCTCTAAAGATGTTGCACCAGATAATTTCACCTCCCTCTGTCTAAACTATATGTTTTGATTCTTGGGATCTTGGTCACTTTGGGGTAGGGGTTGTATGAGACCTGTAGATGCTACTATAGTACCATTAAAAATGACTGTCATGGCAACCAGATCTTGAACAAAAATTCACAACTCTATCAGCTTTTGGTGTAATTCACTGGAAGCAAAGAAAACTAATTTCTGATGAAAAAAGAAGGCTTAATATAACCAAATCCAATCTAGCATTCATGTCAAGGGGAGTCAAGGCAGAGCTGTATGTTCCTGATGGTCTGACAGCCTTATAAAATAATCAATCACACTTGCCTGCCACAGTCCATGTCCACATGGTTTTGTTCCTGGAGAGTGGAAGGTGTCTGGTTTGCTTTTGCATGTGTTGGGGCCTGGCTGCAGCACAGACTGATTGTGCTTTGCACAGTCTCAGCACCACTGGGTGAGACACGGTGTCACCTGTGACTTGGAGGGGAAAAATGTCCTTCAGTGAGTCACTGTCACCACTTCCACCAGGGGGTACAGATGAGCTTGATCCAACCTTGCTCTGTTAATACTCTCCAGCAGAGTCATCTCCTAAATGCATGCCCTGCCCTAACTTTACCTAAACAGTTTAAACAGCTCAGGCTTACCTTTTGCCCCTCAAGTCCCACTCCTTGAGCTCTTTCATTTCACCTTATTTCCCTGGGACTAGGGAAATGGGAGAGGACCAGCCAGCACCCACTTCAGTCCTTCTCTCAGCCTTTGTTTCTTCAGCAAGCACTGGGTTGGACATGTTCTCACAAATCAGCGTCTCAAAGCAGGCACCATCCTGGAGGGTTCCCTCTGCATCCCTGACGTTTTCAGCGCTGCAGAAGGACAGCTTCAGGAGGATGCAGACAAATCTCTTACTAATAGGCAACACTTGGATCCCTGTGAGATGCACCTTGGCAGCCCCCAAATGGCTTTGTGATTCACTGCACTAGTCCAGATTACGGGCAAGTCAGGCCTGGGGAGTCAAATGTACCAAGTCTGGAAATCCAAATATGTGTGTTCCCCAGGCACTTTTCTCTCTCTGGGCCATTGCCTCTTTTACACATGAAATGTTTCTCTGTCTGCATGAGTATATGCAGACCAGCAGAAGGGTGGGGAGCACAGTGTAGAGGCGCAGACGATTCTTTCCTTGGTGCTTGTTTAGGTCGATGGGCATTTTGTCTTTGAGCAAATATAAACTGAGAGATAACAGCACATTTCAAATTTGACTTCACGTGTCCCTTGTCCCTAATAGGCTTGAAGTAACTAGCTTATTGTTGCTTTGAGAGCCATAATTTCTCAGTTATTGAATGTTTTGCATATAAACCTTCTCTTTAATATTTGGCCTAAATTTCCTTTTGCAGATTCAAGTTTGTTTGGACTTCTTTGGGGTTTTTTGACTTCACCCCCCCCCACCC